GTCTTTCCCTAGTTCTTCTCACTGCCAATTCTTGTTACTTGGAGCCAACGACTTTCAACGTTTTTTAGCTCACTCTTCCTTATTTTTAATCATACTTATTTCCAGCTATTTCTTATTTCTAAATCATATTGAATATGTGCATACTAATATTTGATTTTTTGAAGTTTTTATTTATTTTTGTATTGTTGTTCAAGTACAGTTGTCTCCATATACCCCCAATATTGGATTAAAAAAAAATGTAGACTGCCCTGGATGGTATGCCTCAGTGCCCTGGCTGGTGTGGTTCAGTGAATTGAGTGCCGGCCTGTGAATGGAAGGGTCGCAGGTTCAATTCCCAGTCAGGGCACATGCCTGGGTTGCGGGGCAGATCCCCAGTTGGGGGCGCAAGAGGCAACAGATCAATGTATCTCTCGCAGTGGTGTTTCTCTCCCTCTCTCCTTCCCTTCCCCTCTCTCTAAAATTAAATAAATAAAATTTTTTTTAAATGTAGACATTATCTATTGAATTCCTATTATGAAAGAAGATTTAGATCTCTCAAATCATTCTCCCTCTCCCACATCCACACAGTATACTTTTATAAAATATTTCTATTAGATCAATATTTGGTCTTTACATCATTGTGCTTATAAATATTATTCACAGTTAAACTATGTTGCCTAGTAGGCTTAGTATGATTGCATTTTTCTTTTTTTTTTCATTTATTTATTTTTAGAGAGGGAAGGGAGGAAGATAGACAGAGAGAGAAAAACATCAATGTGCGGTTGCTGGGGGACCTGGCCTGCAACCCAGGCCTGTGCCCTGACTGGGAATCGAACCTGCAACACTTTGGTTCGCAGCCCGCGCTCAATCCACTGAGCTACGCCAGCCAGGGCATATGATTGCATTTTTCATACAGCTTTCCTTCACGAAGTGAATGATCTTTTGTTTTTCATTTGCTTAGTTTTCCGTATTCGTATCCCTGACGCCCCCTCCACACACACACACATTTTAGAGAAGTGTGACTCTCTTTCAAACCTACTAGATACTCCATCGGAGTTCTTTCTGGCTTGCCCACAGCCTTCCTGGGGCATCTGTCCTCCCGTGTCCTTCTGTTCTCGTCTGGACCGGATCACGTGAGGCCCGCGGCACAGCCGTCACCCTGCAGCGTCTCTGCCAGCCACCCTGGGAGGTCTCTGCGCCACTCTGTCAGGTTGTCTCTGCCTCCTGGATCTCCAGTCTCCCTTTGCTCGTCTCTCTCCTTTGTTTGGCTGTAGAACATCCTCTAGTGGCTTCCAGAGAAGGAGTTTGTGGGGAATTTTTTTTTTGAGTGCTTGCAGGTCAAAAATATCATTTGTCTCTGTCACAGTGGATGAATGGTTGACTGGATATAGATTTCTAGCTTGGAAACCATCCCTTCTTAAGATTTGCAGGGCGTTTCTCCTCGTCCTCCTCCCCTCTGGTGTTTTGGAGAAGTCTGACATCGCTCCAGTTCCCTGGTTCTTTATTCATGACCTATTTTTCGTCTTCAGAAACCATCAGGACCTTCTCTTCAACTCACGTGTCCTGGAGTTCCGCCCTGCTGTACCTGGCAGCAGGTTATTTTTAATTCATTGTGCTGGGCCCTCTCAATTAGGAAACTCAGGCCCCTAGTACTAGAAAATGTTTCACATTGTTTCTTTAGCACGTTCTTCCTTCCATTTCCCCCATCCTTTCTGGAAATCCTACTGCTCACATGTCAGATTGACACACACATTTTCTCATCTGTTATTTCCCATTTTACCGCTCATCCATTCAACATATTCTTCTTCAGTGCCTACCAAGTGCCATTCCTTATTCTAGGTGCTGGGGCTATAGAAGAGAACAAAATGGAGAAAAGAAATCTCTGTTCTCATGGAGTTCTTATTACATTTTAGAAAGTAATAAGTGCTACAAAAATGAAATTAGGGAAAGAGGCTAGGGCATTCAGAAGGCAGGACTCTGTCATTTTAAGTAGGGTCATCAGGGAAGATCTTACTTAGACACCGACATTTGAATAAAGACTAGAAGATGAAGGGGCAACAAGGTGGATATCTGGGAATGAATGATAGGGAGAAAGAACAGTACACACACACACGCCACTAAGTAGGGCCAGCTGATGCAGGAACAGGCCCATAGACGCAGGTAAAGTAAGGAGGTTGGTGTGCCCAGGGAGGTGGGAAGCAGGGGCCAGAGAGGAAAATGAGGCCTGAGAAAGATAATAAAATAAAATGAGATCTGAAAGGTGAGATCGTGGTAGGTGGATGTTACCCCGTGAATGACAGGGGAGGCCCCTGGAGGCTTTGAGCAGGAGACTGGTGCAACCTGATGGGCCTTTTCACACAGTCCCCACAGCTCCTTTCTGGAGCGTGGTGGGTGGGGGGGGGGTCATGGCGGAAGCAGAACACTTAGCAGCTATTGCAATAATTAAGGAGAACGCGATGGTGGCTTGGCCCACATTTTTACTGTTTTCTGGTCGATTTCCACCACTTTATTTTCTAACTTTTCTACTGAATTTTTTCATTTCTGCTTGAGAAATTTTAACTTCCAAATGTTACTTCTTAATATCTGAATATTCTTTTTTTTTTCTTTCGCCATGCCATGCTCCCTGATGTGGTTCCTTGTTTCCTGGTGTGGCCTTACAGCTTCATGAACACTGATTATAATTTTTGGATGGTTTCTTTCGCTGCTTCCATTATCTCTGGTTCCTCTCAGTTCCTTTTTCTGTTTGTTTTGTTTTGGGGTGGGGGTGTCTTTATCTTTCTTGTTACAGGTTTCCTCCACGTGTCTGGTAATCTTTGGCAGCCACTCCTACACAACTAACAGCTGAGTGGGAGCTCTGTGGGGATGGGGCTTCCTGAATGGGGGACCCTTCTGTGGGCTATTTGAGCAGGAACATGACCCTTATATAGGGGAGACCCCACTCTAATTTGCTCTAATTTTTAGGTATATGTTTTTCCCCACAAAGCCATTTCCTGGAGAGGGATCCTGGGGTCTCTTGCTGGAGAAGCCCCACTCTTTGGCCACAATGTTGGTTGTTACCAAATCTTCATTTTTGGCGTGGTATCTCCTTCCTTAGCTGTGCCAGATGTGTGAGTCCCATGACTTAGCCCTCCCAAAGGAGAACTAAGTTGGCTGGGGGAGGGGTTTAGAGTCTTACTGCTCTCTAAACTGCCTTGTAACCACCCCTCCTGTGTTCAGCCCATCCACACGCTCACCTTCAGTGGTACCTGATAATCCCAATTCCTGAGCCTTTCTGGTACACCTCAGCATTGTTCAACTTGTTTCCTGGCTTCCCCACTCCAGAACTTCACTTTCTCCATCCTCCTAAAGCCATTTCCACTTATCTATGCTCTCCAGCTCCCAAAACGTTGACATATTGACATCTCTTGTCTGCTATTGTCGCTTCTTGAGGTCTCTTTGTCTATATGAATTTATGCCCTTCTTTTTTTTTTGGGGGGGGTGATATTTTTTGTTTTTTAAAGATTTTATTTATTTATTTTTAGACAGAGGTGAAGGGTGGGAGAAAGAGAGGGAGAAAAACATCAATGTGTGGTTGTTGCCTCTTGCGGGGGCCCCCCACTGGGGACCTGGCCAGCAACCCAGGCATGTGCCTTGATTGGAAATCGAACCAGCGACCCTGACGGTTCACAGGCAGGTGCTCAATCCACTGAGCCACACAGCCAGGGCTGTCCTTATTCTTTTACTGTCATTTCAGTGGGGCTGGTAGAGGGAGAATGGGTAATTGTGTCGTGTGTAGCCACATCATTCAATCTGCCACGTTTACCCTCAAGTCTCTTTACAATGTATAAATTCTGTGTTGTCTCTCCTTAGGTAGGGAGCTCTTTCTGCCACTTAGAACTGTATTCTGCTTGGGCTTGGGTGAGGCAGAGGGTAACAAAGTAGAACATACACACCCTTCCTCCAAAAAATTACATTGCATTTGACTCTCTCAGAATAAGTGAGAGCCATTTTTCCATTGTGTGATTTCTGTCAGCTACTCTTTTCCAAAGCAGGGAAGTCCTGCTACCCCTCCTGTGTTTTATGTATTTTGGCTAAGGGAACAAGAGGGCTGGGTGGGGTCTTCAGGAAGGCCATAAAGTGGAAAACTTTTGACTCATAACCCATACAAAATTAGTGCTAGGCACAGGCAGTAGAGATTACCAAGTTCTAGTTGCTGATTTTATAAGAAGGAAACTGAAGCCCAGACAACTTTTATTCATTTGGATCAACTTTGGTCTCTAGAGAAGTAACTTCTCTCGAATGACCGCTTGAGAATGCCAGGTTTTTAGCGGTCATTGGGTCTTTGGTTTTAATGCTTCCTCTGCTCCAAAGCATGGGCCCCTTGCTGTTCCTCGGGTTAAAAAAGGTCGTTTTAGAGGTCCCTCTCATCACTGCACCTAGTTTCACTTTCTGTAGCAGAGTCGTGTGATTATTTTTTTATTTATCTGATATTCATTGGACTGTGAGCTCTATGAAAGTTCTTTTTCCTGTCTCGTTCACCGTTTTAATCCTCAAGGAGAACCGAGGTTCCACACTAAGCGGTCACTCCAAAATCCGCGCTTGCAGCCACTACATTATGGTGCTACTTTGACGAAGAAAGCAGAGCAGGGGCTTCTGCGAACACAGGGAAGAAAGAGGGTCATAAAACATATACCCAGGGACGCGATCAGATGGAAAACACCGGGACCCGTGCGTGCGGCGTCCACCACGACTTTTCTCTCCGGAAGCGCTTGCTGCGCGCCGGCGCGAGTGCGCACGCGCGGGAGCCGGGGTCGCCCTGGGTGGTGCGCGGCGCTGGCGGGGCGAGGGGAAGGTTCCGCCTCTGGGGCCGAAAGGCGCGTGCGCCTCCGGGGCTCCGGTCAGGACGCGCCTTCTCGCTTCTTCCCTCCCCCGCCTGCGCGCTGGGTGGGCGTGGGAGGAGGCGGGGAAGAGGGGAGGGGAGCGAGGAAGCGGGTGTCGCGGGAGGGAAGGAGCGAACCGGGGAGCGTCGTTCGGAGAGGAGTGAAGGCGGCAAAATGGCGGACCGCTTCTCCCGCTTCAACGAGGACCGAGACTTTCAGGTAAACACGGGCGGCGCCGGAGATCCGGGGAAGGCGCTGGCCGAGCCGCAGCCTCCTCCTGCCCTGTCCCGGCTGTCTTGCGGTCCAGATTCTGCTCTGGCTTACGAACCGGCTCGCTCCTCTCTGCCTCCGATTCCTCCGGGGGCCTCCCGGCTTGAGACGAGGCCGCATCCCTTCCTACCCCATATTCTCTTACCTCTTGGACTCAGGCCGCCGGTTTGCGGCGTCGGCCTACTTGGGCTTCGGGTTTCGGAGCCCCGGCCTGGCCGCTGGTGGGGCTGTGCTCCCCTGGGTCTGCCCGGCCGGTGGAGGCGCAGGGCTGGCTCCCCGGGGAAAAGAGGGTTGGGTCGGGAAGGGTTGGGGCGAGTGTCGCTGGACCGTGGCCTCCGAACCCCCGAGTTTTGCTTGCAAGACTCTTCTGGGGGGCGGGGGGCGGTGCGGTCCTCCCTCGTACTTCGCTCTAATAAATTCCTTTCATTGTCTGTTTTTCCAATTCTTCACCCGGAAAAGAATGCTTTAGTTATTAGATGCCTTCTTGGTTAGGCAAACATTGAAATTTCTCGGTGCCTCAATGTTTTGTCGTTAGTATTAGGCCGTTAACTGGGCTTGAAAAATAGAAAGTTACTATCCTCGATGCGAGCTTCGCCCAAATATTATCTCGAAAGAAGATTTGTAAGAAACAGAGTGATTATGGACTTTTCCAAGCCTGAGATAACTTGTGGCAACGCTTGATTTTTTCTCCCTTAGTTGCAAATTAAAAAATGCCTTTGTAATTGCAAGCATTATTGAGGGGAAAAGAGGCAAATTAGAATTTCTTGTCTTTAGGCTGTTTAATTCCCGTTGAGCGTTGTTATCGCAGAAATCTCGGCAGTTAGTAGGGATTTAGTGGAGATTGGCTATTTCTAGGATAAAATACATCCTCAGAGTCTCAAAGAAACCACTGCATTACTACCGCATATCCTGGCAACAGCAATTTGGGTCAGGGGATGATCCTCAGAACTCTAGTTTCTGTCCTGCTGCAGATCTTCCTCAAAGTGATACGGGAATATTCTAGATATGTTTCGGAAGGCCGTTTGAAGGGTTTGAATTGCCTGGGATGACTGGGTTGGTAAGTAGACAGGTTAAACCAACACCGAACAGTCTAGTGTATAGGACACTTACGAGAAGTTTTGCAGCCGTAGGAGATCCTGGGGGCCGTGGGAAAGCCTTGTGACCATGCGCCTGCTGTGCAGCGAGCTGCAGCACAGGACGGGATCTCAAGGTGTTTAAGGATATAATGCAGGTCCAGGGAAGTTTGAAGCAGTTCGTGTTTGCAGTTTGCTTCCTGAGAAAAATTGCTCTTCAGCTAGCACCATAAAACACGACTAGGCTGCAAGATGTATGGGGTCTATTGGTAATTTTTAAAGAGACATGTGGATAACTAAAATCCGCAACTGCTTTCAGAGGAGAGACTTTCAAGGTGACCTAGTAAAATTGAAAGTAGATAACGTGAACAATTAAGTTTTGAGGGAAAATGGTTGTCCATTACAGAATTTCAGCAGGCTTGAACGGACAAAAGCAGGACTTAGGGTCTTGAAAGAAGATTTTGAAAACTGGGTAGCAGAGTATGAGTGCTGCCTGTCACCTGAAGAAATTGAGAAAGCCTCCACCTTTTCAAGTGAGATGCCTTTCTTTCCTGATGCTGCTGTCAGCTTATGTAAAACCTGTTTTCAGTTGTTTGGTAGTCCCTTGAAGATTTTATATATATATACATATATATATATATGTATATGTATATTGAAGTTTATTTTCTCCTTTTATGTTGGAATAGCCAATTACTACTGTATGGAATCAGCCAGGGAAATGGCTTTTTGATTTTTTTTTAAAGGTGTCCTAGTATTATGGATGGGTAAGTAGGGTACTGGGAATGAAACATTTTAGACAATTATAAGATGTTAAAACTTTTATAAGTTACTGTGCTAACATTTCTAAGAAGGCATAGTATTTTTCTGGATGTTTTACTAAAGAGCAAAGTATAGGTTGATTTTCATTAATGATGTCCTTTGTCTTAAGTTATTGGAGAGGAAATGTAATAGGATGCCTCTGCAGGTAGTATGTCAAACGTTTTTCAAGGTCAGGTTATGCAAAATGAAATGTGGCCTCCTTTTAGGCTTTTAAATGATAAACAAGGTGAAGTCACTCAGTCCACTTGAAAACAAATCCAGAGTAGGTTTCCAAAACACAGTACATAGATCCTGTTGCTTTAAAGAGATCTTATAGTATTGGAAATTTTTCCATGCCTCTTCTCTGGTAAGTTCTAGGTGGCTATCGTTTTCTTTGCCAATTTACCATCAAGTGCAAATTTTGGAGACAACATCATGTTGTCTTGAACTTAGTGTGGAGTCAGAGGTGGGTTCACTGTTAGATTTTGTGAATACCCTGAAGTTTCAAAGGTGTTTTTGTAGAGTATAGTGAGGAGCCTGACTGTGGTATGCCACTGGAAGCACTGACGAATATACAGAGTAATCATGATCAGGGATATACATTTAAGCTTTTTTTAAAATTAAATTTATCAGGTTGACATTGGTTAATAAGCACATTGGTTTTAAAAGTTTTTTGGTAACTTTATTGTAATAATGAACAGGTACTATTCTACAGACTTTATGTGTATTGTCTCCACCTCCACAATAACTCCGTGAGATGGGTACTGTTACATTTTCTAGTGAGAGAGCTGAAGCACAGAGGTAAACAACTTGACCAAGGACCCGAAGTTGGTAAATGACAGACCCTGGATTCAGACTTTGGCTTATCTCTTGAACCTGTGCTCAGGACCATTATCTCTACTGGCAATTAAATATTTCATATAACGTATTGAGTCATCAACTATGGAGGAAAATGTATAGGTCACAAAGAATAAATAAGCTTTTAGAGTGGTGGTACAGTTAGTTTTTTTTACTCAACATGTTCTGTGTTGCTCAGATCTGTTTCTTGTTGGTTTCCCAAAGGCTTCTAGGGAGGCTCTGACAATGACACTGTTACAGAGGGTATATTGTTAACTGTTGTTTTAGTTTAGACATTCTTTTGTGTAGCCTTTTTAAGTGGTATTTTATCTCTGGAAATCTTTGTGATCTAGGCTCGTGGTATGTTTGTTTTTTTTTTAAATACTTTGAGAGTTTCAACTACTCCTTTAAGAATCTGTCCTCAGTTTCTGAATGAGACATGACTTTGGCTTACATTTACCAGATTAAGTCATATTTGTTCACAGATTGAAATGTTATGTTACACAAAGTAATGGAAAATATATACTAGAATTTAAGATCTAGACATATTCAACACTTTGAGTAATAGATTCACTAAAGAAAGTTTTATTTGTGCAGTGCTGTACAACTGTAAGGTATTAAATATACAGCTCAGCATTTAGTGACTGCGCAGCCATTGATGGTGATGCAGCTGAATACTGGCGAGGAAATGTTCTTCAGTTCGTGTACCTACAGCAGACCGGTGATATGAAGGAGCCTCTCATTCTATCTTGTTCCAGATGCATTCTGCATTAGACTACTGTTGAAAAGGAGCTATGATGATAATTACTGATAAAGTAATGAGAGAGACATATTATCAATAAAGGTCATAATAAAAATATAAAAATTACCCAAGAATTTTCCGTAATTTATATAAGTAATCATAATGGTAAATAGCAATAAGCAAGTCATGTACTACTTTTATGTAAGGTGTTTGTAGGATTCTTCCTTGTGTTTCATGTATGATACTAGGATGTGACCCTCAGATAAATCTTATTTGAGACCATTAAATGAGGATGTTTACAATTTAAAAATACTTAGGTCACAGAAGCATGTTACTGTGTTTAATGTATGGTACTGTGTAATACTGAGTTGGCATTCTAATGCGAGCATGCTAGAGATGACACGTGGGCAGGTGTTCTGATCTCTCTTTTCTGGATCTCTCTCCCATTGTCTGGAAGAGAGAGATGCTACTAGCAATGAAAATCAATGTCAGCGTTGATTGAGATCATGGAATTTATGCAAAATCATTACTATTCTCTTTCACATTCATACTACGGTAGGCGGAAAGTATTGGATCCAGCCAAGGCTGTACAGATTTCAAAATACTGAAGATGAGTTATTGTTATTAATAAGTTGAAAATTATTGGTTACTATAATCTCAGGGGATCAAGAGTGACCAAATAAGGTTAGCATAGGGTAAGGCTCCCTGGGGGTGATTTGAAGGGTAAGGTTATATATTTAAGGTAAAAGGTACTTAAAAACATGGGATGTATCAAGGAACAACATCACAGAGAAGAATATAAAGAAGTTATATTGAAGGGAGAATGGGAATGACAGTGACTGTGCTCATAGGGCTTCACTTCATGGTGTGCTTATTGGTTTTCAAAGCAGGCTTGGGAGATTAGTCTCAAACAAACATAGAGACTATTAGGCTGATTGCTACAGGGCTGTCCTAGTGCTATCGACATTATAGGAAAAGAGATGTCCTGTTGTAGGCTTTCCTTGTAATTTATGCATGTACTGCAGAGAGATTCTTTGACCACATTTTCTTGGTCTTTATGATAAGCTACATAACTAAAATTTGTGACCTACATTGAAAAAAGCATGAAACAAATTTAAAAAATAAATAAAAAACAACGCATATGTAATTAGCTATCCTGATTGTGCAGCTTCATAGCTGAGGCACGTTTCCATGTAATTTCTGTCCATTTGGGTACATGATAAAATGAATAAAAGGACAGTTTTCTTGATGTGGTCAAAATTACCATTTTCTGAAAAGGAAAGCAGAAGCAGAAGTTCATGAGATCTTGAATTATGGATTTGAAATCCATGTAGAGGTTTCATCTTTGTTCTTGTGATTTAATAAGTTTCTAATATTTTATTAATGAAAATGGATTCCAGCTTGAGGTAGACATCCAGTTCTTGAATTCTATTAAAATTCTTTCCCTGAAACAGCTTGGCACTGTTGCTTGTTTGTATGTCTGGCATTAATCCTCTTTT